ACCTCGACAAAAGAAGAATATATATACGATCTTTGTTGAAAATGAGTCAATTTTGAGCGATTGGTGCATCAGATGTTGGAAAGACGGCATGACTTAGTCACTCTGAAGGAATGTGTTATGAAAAATCCGCGAAGAGCTTAAGCAACGTCTTATGTGGAAAAAAAAATATGATGATTGAGTTTGGGGAGGTAATTCCCCCAAAATCTAACCGAGATGCCGCAGGGACATAGATGGACTGGCACTATCATGATGTAGCCACATGGTTTCTCAATGTCCGAGTTGACTGTGATGAATATTTTACCCTTGTCGATGAAGGGGCATAAATAAAAACTATGAGGAAAAATGAAACGATTCCGACTGATATAAAGATTGACCGCGTCAACAGTTGATTTCTCATAGGCGCGAGTGATGCAACTTCTTTCGGTGGGACAATAAGTGATATAGTGATTCAGGTTGGAAAGGTAAAAATTTGCTCGTACCTCTCATCATGCCACGAATAGAGCATGCAATGCTATTGCGATGGTCATTCCTGTGTCGTTCGGAGTCTATTATAATCAACAAGCACAGTAACACAATGTTTGTGGTTCTCTGTGATTCGGAATGCAGATATTTTAAAGTGATAAGGTGCAAAAATACGAAGCCTGAAAATGCGGGGTATGATTTGGGTTAGTTTCGTGCGGTTGGATCTGATATATATATATATATATTACACAGGGGCACCAGCCCGTACGTACGGAGGTCCCCGGGCAGACCTCCGTACGTACGGGCGTTCGGGGTCCCGTAAGGTGTCCAAACCCGACGGCGTTTGGCCTCCGCCAAAAATTATTTTGGGGCCTAAAAATAATAATTTTTTTCTGAATTTGTTTTTGTGAGTTCTCTATGACATGAGGCACATGCCTGTAAAGTTTCAAGTCATTTGGCTGAGCCAAATAAGAATTAAAAATCGCCAAATATGGATGTGTCAAAACGAGCTCGCTCACGTGTTTTTTCACTTTTTACTTTTTGTTTTCACTTTAGTTCGGGGTCTAAACAATTTTATTATTTTTTGAAACTTTTTTAGTGGGTTTGTATTATGTGAAGTACTCATCTGTAAAGTTTCTGGGCATTTAGATATGCCAAAACAAAATGAAAAATCGCCAAAGATGGCGGTGTCGAAAACATGCTCGCGCACTCACTAAATTTAATTATCTTTTTATTTTTATTTAATTTTATTATTAGTATTTGTTTTCCATATTTTATTTTTATTTCAAATTTGGTAAGGAATTGGGATGTAACGCTGAGGCAAATATTGTTTAATCTATTTTTCTCCATAATATTTGTTTTTTTCATATTTGTTTTATGACTTTTTTTTTTTTTTTTTTTTTTTTTTTTTTTTTTTTTTTTTTCATTATTTTTTTTTTTTTTTTTTTTTTTTTTTTTTTTTTTTTTTTTTTTTTTTTTTTTTGGGTCCGCGTTCGACTCGAACGGCTGAACGGATCCCCAAGGGGTCCAATACGTTCGGGCGTTCTGGTTCGGGCGTTCGGCCCAACCTAAACGCCGGTTACCCTGTGTATACATATATATATATACGAGATATATATATATATATATATATATACATATACATATGTATATTATTTTTTGATTGCACGACTCCCGACGATATTTGTTTTGCTAGTGGCATATACGCGCAATAGTTATAAGATTATCTCTCCTCGTAGACATATGTATATTTTTTTACTACAATCGATCTCTCTTCGAGTTGTGAAGTTATTGTGGTAATTCTTTTCTATGTGACGATATATATATATATATATATATATATATATGTATATATATATATATATATATATATATATATATATATATATATATATATATATATATATATAGTTTTTTTATTGCACGACACCCGACGATATTTGTTTTGCCAGTGGCATATACGCGCAATAGTTATAAGATTATCTCTCCTCATAGACATATATATATATATATTTTTCTACAATCGATCTCTCTTCGAGTTGTGAAGTTATTGCGGTAATTCTCTTCTGGATTATGTATAAGGGACTAGGATTCCCTACGAATTTCATGCTTGGTAGAAATCGTCCTAGATAACTGACGTACGCTTCATAAGTGAGAGATCAACACCCTAGGGAGCAGATGAGGTTACGATGATGTTCTAACCACACACGCGTATACTGCAGAGAAACGACAAAACGCCCTTGACTCATCTACCTCTGCGATTGTATATAAAAGATTTCACATGTGGGTCAATAGCTCGATAGGGATACCTCCCTAAGAGTGGTGACAACCCTTCGGGAAGGTAAGTCGTGTCTCGAGAGAACTTGTCATATCGCAGGGCAACACAAGAGGTATGATTGATGCACGTGGCTAGAGCGACGAGATGATATCACAACTGCGTCTATCTCGGCGGTTCGTAGGGTCCTTAGGTTATCGAGCTTGTCGGTCTCACATGGGGATCTTCCCGACAACGCCACGCAAAATTTTGCAAGAATTTTTCGCAAGGGAGCTTTGACCGCTCCGGTCGAATGCGCTAGTTGTACCTCTCGCGAACCGCTACGACAGGATATAGGTCGAGCGAGGAATAACTGAGCTCTGCCCAAGGGTTTGTCACCACCCTTGGTAAACTCTGTAATTTCCTGACAAACGTATCCCCACCAACTATCGAATCACGAGCGAAAGTTGCTCGAGTGCAATCACAGAGGTGGCCCGACCGAGGGTGTTTCTCGTTTGCTGTAGCATAGGGGGCATGCACGGTCGAACGTTGTAATCCGATCCGTACGGGAACCGACGCTCTGAGGGTCGATCTTCCCAAGCGCGGCTCTACGTCGGTGAACTAGGACCGTCCACCTAACAACGCGATACACTTTACAAAGATAAATTCAGTTTCACTCATGAATCACATCTCGTCCTTTTTTCACATCCGACTCATAACCTTTTGACAATAACATTGTGTGGTTGTCGTGCGCGAGACTATGAATAAAAGTCGTGGCAACATGGGCTTCATCATATCGGCTAGCAATGTATGAGTACACAAGCGCTCGCAATCGTGGAGTACTATGTGGTACCAATGATCACGTTGTCCTTATTGGCTTTTAAAAATCGCGTTCGACACTCCAGTGTCGACTGACATGGGTCTTAAGGGGTTAATTTGTAGACGCTAGACAATCACAAGTGCGGTTGTAAGATCTACCCTCTTCTGCACCCTGCACGGGTGAGTGGTGGACGAGCTTCGGTTCTTTATGACGGGCGTGACGCCCCTGATCTATAGGACGGGCTCCATCTTCGGAGACTTTTAGACATGCCAAGCAGTTTGACTTAGACAGTCGCCATGGACCTCAACGTCCAACTATAAAAACCTAAAAAAAAAAAAAAAAATCTCTCCTTTCTCTCAATACAAATTTGCCCAATCTTTACTCGTTGTCAAGATAGAGCGCGTGAATACACAAAATCTAAATATAACGGGGTTGTAGGACATAAGCCGATCCCTCTTACAATAACAGTGTGAATTTCTTCCAAATATAGAGATGATCGCAGACAAGTTCAATCCCGACTTCGATTTACAAAACATACATGCAATCACACACAAATTCAACATCGACAGACCACGCATTACACATGGTCAACTTCAATCACTCTCTGCACTTACACTCCTTGCCTTATTCACATTAGCCTCGATCTTTGTCCAACCTTCCAAAAAAACACTCAATTATTTTTAAATAAGCATTTAATAAAATTCCGGACATAAACTCCAAGAAACAACTTGAAATTAACCCACAGGGGCTAAGGCCTTAGTTTGAGTCGTGAGAATGTGTTCGAAGTTGAATTGGAAACTAATATATTATCAAAACATAACAGAAGACGATCCTCTTAGGATCAGACTGAAACTAATCAGATCTTGAATCAAAGTAACCAAAAAGGATCTGTAACATAATCGAGATCGGTTGCAAAAACTAATTTTAAATGTATGGATAATGAACCCTAATACCATATCTCATTCCAACTTCTCACAAAACTAATTCTAAATCTATCTCTAAATGGTATGAAAAAATTAGAGAACATTTTGGCAGCATCTCCCGTGTACAGGATGGATTGCCAAAGTTTTTCCTACCAAATATAATATAACACCTTGAAATTAGAAAACATTTAGCAGCACTCTCTATAGAGAAAGTGCCTTTTGAAATTTTATACTCTGTTAGATACGGAATCACAGAACGACTTTTGACTTTACAAAGTCAAATTATGTATAAGGGTCTCGTTAGACACTTCTAAAAGTGGCTGTTTTTTGGATTGCGTCTTGGTTGCAAGCAATCTTAAATCCAATTTTGAGATCGAAAATGTGAAGACGGTGTTAGGACGAGTCCTAAAGGATTTAGGATTCCACGGGCAAAATCGTCCTAAATTTTCCATTAGCCCCCGACCTACTAAAAAATTTAGGATTCCCACGTTTCACAGACTGGTTATGTCGCGCGCATGGCACCGTCGACACGGAGTTGCTGGTGCAGAAGCGATCCGTTGGGTCAGTGGTCGGACATCGGAGGTTTTCTGAGGGCCGACGCGGGCAATGGCCACAAACGGTAGCCGTTGGCGGGCGGGTTGGAGCGTGGGGGGCCGAGCAGGGGCGGGCGGGCGTCCCCAGTGGACCGTTGGCTCAATTGTGGGAAGCGGAGGAGGACGACCACGTGCTCAGGAAGACATACCGAGGCACTTTGGGCAGTGAGCGGGCGCCAACGGTTGATTTTTGAATTGACAGGGGTCCGCCTTTGTCGTCTTCTTGGTGGTTGTCAGCATGTGAAGGTCCACCGACCCTATCCACCAGCATGTCGGAAGACACTTCTGTAGTAGTCGCTTGGAAGGGTGCCTCCCGATTTGAAATTGATGGCAAACGTGCAAAGAAGATTGCCTCTGTTGGTACTTGTTGTCGTCGTCTTCCTATTTGTCGTCTTCCTCCACGTGTGTTTGTTGTGCCAGCCCTGGAAGCAACGTCGCAAGTGGAGGGCGTCAATGAAACGGCCGGCAGAGGAACGTCCGATGGCGAGCATGCAGGCACGCGCAGAACTGGGTGCAGTTCAGGGCGGAAGAGGACCTGCGACGGAGGTGCTTCGACGGTGGTACAAACCGTCCTTGTACACCAATCTAGAGTCGTGGGAGACGCCACTGCCCCCGTCGAACGAGGAGGCGAAGACGGAAGAACTTGCAACATTGCCTCTCGGTAGCGGGTCGACGCAGATGTTGTCGCAGATGATGCGAGCGCGCGGGTCGGCTAGCAACGAAGGCGGCGAGTTCACCTCCCTCCTAAGGTAAGGCTTGGGAGATAACGACGACGGAGGACTTGATCTGAGGTTCGAGTTGTCTTCCTGCAGCGCGAGGAAGGTGACCCGTACGTTCATCATCGACGCTGATCCTTGGCCATGTGGCCTTGAACGTCCTGGGAGTCAACATACCGAGCAGTCCACACTTTGTGGCGGTGCGTTCGTCACTGCAGGTGTCGGGCCGTCGCCACCAGCCTGGCAACATGGATCGATTGCGCCGTCCGACGAACGAATGACAAGCAGCTGCCCCGCACGCAGTGGAGTCGCAGCAGGGTCCCTGCGCATTGATGGTGGACGCTCATCGATGTCCAACCGCAGAACGCCGGCCCAACCCGACCTGAGGGACGAGCCTGCTTGCAGAGCACCGGTGCGTCCAGGACCCACTGTGGAGAACATCACACGAGGAGTGTCCAACATGAGGGCACACAACGATGGTGGCGACGACGATGCCGGTGGCAGTGACGATCCTGACAAAGGATTCAGGGGGGACGGGGAAGCAGGGGACGACAACGACGACATTCATATTCGGCCTTTGGGGAAGAGGACTGGGAGGGGGAAAGGACTCAGCAGAGGTGCTGTTCGTGGACGATCCGTTGGCCGTGGCGGCAGAGGAGGCGTAAGTAACGACGGCGGGAAGTATGCAACGTACTGGTCTACGGACGACCAACTGCTCCTAGTGAGATGCAAGCGGGCTGGGTCACAATTACGGGCGGATGCGGATGAAGGAGTGGAAGTGGGACGACATTGCGAAGCAAATGGCGAATGCGGGGAGGCCTAAAGACGCCGACGACTGCATGAAGAAGTGGGACAATCTGTTCCAAAACTACAAGAAGATACAAAGGTTTCAAAATGCCTGCGGCGAGGCAGATTCCTTCAGGCTGTCAAAGGAAGAAAGAAAGGAGCACAACTTCAAGTTCCGCATGGACAAGGTGTTGTACAACAAGATCCATGGAGGCGTGCAGCGGAACCACACAATTTTTCCTCCCAACGTCGCCAACACCAGCAGTCCGGACGGGGTGCAACTGCCGAGGCAAGGAGCGGCTGGTGGGAAGTCTGTTAGTAGTGAGGCCGGCGGTGATGGCTGCCCTGAAGAACGTTATTCGGCAAGGGACTTCGAGAACAACGCAGGCAGTGGGGTCGGAGGCGGTGTCGGAGGGCATGGTGTCCCGGCCCTCCTCTGTGTGCCAAGTCCTCACTCGGTGTTAACTCCTGACGTCATTGATTTGTCAGGGAAGCTCCAGAACCTTCACTGCGGATCTGGGATATCGGGGTTGTGCTTCGGCACGGGTCGACCCTGTTAGCGCTCGCCTTAGGCAAAAGGGGTGCGCCCCAGGGCTTCCATTGGTTCACGCAGGCCCGGCGCCCTGCTGTACAGTAGAGCACAACCGGCTTGTGGCTGTGGTAGCCGCCGGGTTCGCCCTGGGACGCGAGAGTGGAGGGATTGATACTGCTTTATCAACTGCGCGCCGAGCGCTCTCTTTCCAGGTTATGGGATAGGTACATGGGACAGGTCTTGATAAAGAGATAAAAGAAAACAAAATGTGCTGGGGTGAAAAGGAAAACTGAGCATTGGAACTGCATTTAGATCATGACTCTTGCCTTAGTTTGGGATAATTGAGCGATATCAGGTCACTGTATCGTTGAGTTTTTCTTCTCTCTTTATTTATAATTATTATTATTATTGCAATCATTACTATTAACTTATTGATTTTCAGACTCGGCTTTCTCCTTTTAGGTTCTGTCGCTTCGTAGGGAAGGCCGTTGATCCAGGTTTTGGATTGCAACCGTGGCCTCATGGCTTAGACTAGCTAGGCCCCTCGTATGTTGTCTGTACTGGACCTGCTCAACTGAGCTCCACGCTGTAGGACCCCAGTAGCAGTATCAAGGGGGTAGATACAGTGGTGTCTGAAAAGGGAAAAATGTGAAAAAGAAAGAAAAAGGGAAAAGTGTGAAAAGGAAAGAAAAAGGGAAAATGTTGGAAGTCGGGCTTTAGATTTGTGCATGGGCTCGTATCGCTGTTCGGGCGAGGCTGCTCCGCGAAGAAATTTTGAAACGCCATCTTTTCTTTTTCTGTAATTATTATTATTATTATTATTATGGTTTATTGATATCATTATTTAGTTTTCTTTTCATTCGACTGTCAGATTCGGTTTACTTTTCAGCGTGTCATTTCGCAGGAAAGCCAACGGTTGGAAATCCGGGTTTGAGCTATGTTGTGCGGCCTAAGTGGGCCGACCCCTCATATATCGCTTGCTCCGAGCCGGTTCGACTGAGTGCCGCGCTGCAAGGTCTCAAAAGAGGGGCGACCCGCGGCCACATTGGTAGGGAGCCTATCACCCCCCCGTGGGGGGTCATAAGCCCCCTCCTTGCCATCGGACACGGGTACCCGCCGGGTATAGGCCAACGGGCGCGTTTTGAGGGAAGGATTCCTTGTCAGTATCCCGTTATGGGACTTCAGTTTTTGGGTTGTGGCCACGTCGTGATAATTAGTCACTTGACAATAATATAGTGATTTCGAACCATATCTCGAATGTTGAGTTTCCGGTTTCCGAATTATTCAGTTTTTATTTTGTGTTATATTTCGGTTTATTAAAACTACTAATGTGAGAGCTGAGCTCTTCTTTTAGAGCGCGGGGTCATAGCGAGGGGTAAGCCTATAAAGAGGTGAGGTTAACGAGTCTTTGGCAGCGAGGCCTCTTCTGCTGTGTTGGCGCTGCTGGTCTGAGAAAGCGGTGGGTAGTCTGTGTACACGAGTATTGAGTTTTGAGCGGTGTGTAATTGGATGGCGACTATGTTGCGTAGCAATGGCCTTTTTGGCTATAGGCCAAGGCACCTGAGGTCTTACTGGAGCTGGGCACCTATGCGTGAAGAGGGTTATGCAGTGGATGTCTGTCTAAGTTACAGCAAGAGTGAGGGGCAGGCTAGACTGAGAATCAATGTCTACGGTGGGAAGGAGCAAGAGGTGAGGGAGGATGCGAAAATACAGGGTGTGGTCACCGAGGCTCGGAGCAGGGCAGAACGAAGATGCCGACGAGATGGGGCAATCGCGGCATTACGGGTTACCGTCACTTACCATGAGGAGGAGACCTCCACGGGTACGACAGAGAGGGAGCAACAAGAACTGGATCGGGACTCAGAGGCGGAGTCCGAGGCTAGCGAGGACCTTACTTAGTCCTGGCACGGGCAGGAGCAGTGGAGGAGAGAGCACCTGCCAACTGAGTCGGTAGAGGACGGACCCGAGGCCAGTTCGGCCCGGGGCAGAGCAAGACCAGCTGAGGCTGGACCATCGAGCGAGGAGGCGAGTAATAAGCGGGATTGAGCCTAGGAGAGAGATATACGTGGTGCGACTTGTTATGGGAGTGGTTAACGAAAAGAAGAGAATGTGAGCGGGAACGGGGCAAGTTTGTGGAGTGCGATTGACGTCAACCGATCCGTGCAAGCTCGCATGACTTTGCACTTAGACCTCATGGAATGGAGAGGAGAGGGCACGTGGCAATCTGAGAAGAAGAAGGCAGTCAACGAAAGAGGGGACAGACAAGCGCAGGGAGATACGCTTGTGTACGGTACACACGTGGCGCGAGCTGTACACTGGCGGGCTCGAGGCAAGCTCGCGGCAGTTGAAGCCCAAAAACCGTGGGACGAGTGAGAGGGAGAGCAGGAAAAAAAGGCATGTGTAAGGATGGGAGGCTCTCTCAGAAAAGAGAGAGGGTACTGTGCAACTCGTTAAGGCGGGCGATGTTGGCGTCAACACTAGCGTACGGGAGGTCGTTCGCTCTCAGGACTATTGGCTGACATCAACACTCGCGCTCGTAGAGGACACAAACCTTATCCGTAGAGCCAATGCCAGTAGGCTACTCGTTGTCCGGGGGCAACTTACGAGTTGTTTCGCAGAGACTGAGGGGAGTGAGCCTCTAGGCTGACCCTCTCGGCATTGCGATCAGGGTCATCAGGCTTTGTGAAGTGTGTACTGGCCCCATGAGGTATATGATCTAAGAGAGGCGGGGGTGATGACGCGTGGCATACAATCTACAAGTGGCAGGACAAAAGCAAAGAAAGATGCAAGCTTAAGAAGCAAGACTGGCATCAACAACTATCCTCACTTTCATGCAACGTTTGCGACTGCCGATCCGCGGGGAGCCCTCACAGAGAGGGGGCGGAGTCCCTCTCATCATCAGTTGACATCATGTGCCTGATGAGTGTCGTATGTCGAGGGGTTCTATTGCGTCTTCATCGGTAGGTGCCAATTTAGATTGCTCTTTCCTAGGTGATAAGCCCCGAGCGTATTCGAGCGAGTTTGACAATCATCTTGGCTGAACGCTGTCTTACTCTGATTAGTGGAAAAGCACATGGTGAAAGACGAGAGAAACCAAGAGGTTCGGTTAAGAACGAGAGTGGTAAAAAAACAGTTTCTGTTTCAGCCTTTGTCAACGTTTTGGACTGTTTGTGACTATAGCTCGTCCGACGCCTTTAGTCAGGACATGTGTGTTCGTGTAAAGGGGCTCGATTAGACCATCATTCTCTCTCTAGGTGGATGGACCTGTCAATTGATCTCGTGCAGACGCCTTGTGAATGGAGGAGCACTATTGCGCATCTTGTACACCGATGCGAAGTGAGAGTAGACTGATGAGAGTGCGGTAAGCAATAATGTGAGTAGAGTCATTGATGTTTCCTTGATAAATTCTACTTGTATCGCCGACCCTGTTACTCGAGTTGCTCTTGGTCGAACTGGAAAACGAATAACCTGTGTAATGTCTGAAGAGAAAAGAAAGGGTTACATTGGTTGTTGGTAATCCACGACTGATTAGCAGGAAGGGGAGCGCCCTCTTATGTTCTTGGTTGTTTGTTACTCCCCTACAACGTTCACCAGTTGTTCTCTTGATATCGTGATCTCCTATCTTGAGTTCGACACAACAGGTAGAGAGGGGGAGAGGGTGCTGTTAAGTAGCTGGTACTAGACGACTTGACAAGTTATGACA